TTCTTTACAATATTCTTTGATTGAGCCAGTGATAGGCTAATTGAAAATACAATTTTATTTTAGTGACCAAAATTTTTATATTTCTAATGGTACTTACTAATATTCATTCATTCATTCATTCATTTTTTCCCAGCTTTCTACTTTTATATAGATCTATGCTATACGAAAAATTGTCTTTTCGTTATTGGAGCAAAACGCATTAATGCATAATTAATGGTACCATACCCAGCTTTAATTCAAGTATAAATAAATTCATTCCTCAGCTCTTGCAACACTCCATACTTTCTACTTAAATCCGCTTCTATCAAAATACATTCTTTTTTTTCCAAAATTATTTTAATTATTGTAGTATCGAATATTTTAAAAGAAAAATATAGAATTTATTATAGAATATAAATTCTTTAAATTCATATATATCATAGAATCAACAGTTCTTGCAGTTATAAAAAAATTGCAAGAATAATAATCATTGTATTTTATTTATATTAAATTTTATATTTCTTTTCAATTTATCTTTTTTAAAAATTTATTTTAATAGTAAATAATAAAATAATAATTTTAATAATAAAATAACCTGGAAAAAAAAGCAAATTTTGCAAAGGAAAGCAAATTGATAAAATTTTAGCTCTTAAATTTTTTTTTTTTAAATTATTGTAAAAAGATTATTTAATTTAATGAAATATCCGAAAAAGAAAGATATGATTTAAAATAATGAGATTATGAATCAATAAAAGAATATAAAAATTTGTTGATTTTACGGTTCGCAAAAAATTTTAAATGCTATAAATTATAAAAAGGAATTCATCTTGAATATAAGTCAGAGTTGTATGGGGATAAATAAATTGCGCAATTTTCTAAATTTTTTCACCTCTAAGTGATTGACTGATAAGAATCAAGTCATTGATAAGAAGAAATAAGTTAAAAATATCTTCATTTTTGGCCTGCATCGAATTTGTTCATTTTATCAGTAAATAATAAAAAAATAAGGTATTGTTTAGTGCAGAAACTAAATGATGGAATTATTATAGTGACAGCAGGAAATGTTGCGAGGATTGCCTATTTGCTATCTTCAAATGTATTATCTTATGGTACTTCACTGAGCCTAGGTAGTCGCTTTCGATAGTTAATTACAATCAGTTTATTTGTTCATGATTTTTTGCTTCACGTCTCTAGTGAAGTGACCTCAGGCACAAATTCTAATGGTCGAAATTCCCATTTTACAACTGTTGCTATTGGTGTTGGAATATAGATGGAAATCAAATGTTAATGAAAAAATTTTGAAAAAAGTTCGAAGGAAATTCTCAGCTTCTCAGTTTATTGGTTGTTTATCCTCGCTTTTTCTTCTTTTATTTAAAATATTTAATAATTTAAAAGAAAGATTGTATTGTAAACTTTTCGAAATATTACAATAATATATTGAAATATACAAAATAAGCTTACTGAAAATATGAAATTTTTGAACTCAACTCGTTAATTGGTAAGCTCAGTGATGAATGGCGTTAAAAGCGAGGTGGACCAATCAAGACGTGGACTGATACAATGAAGAAAGATTTTAAATGTACAGATGAACCAGCAATATATGGACTTAAACGACGGAAAAAGGAATGGCTTCTATCACTGTCGCCGATGGCATCAGATCGCGCAGCTTGGAAACAGAAATATCCCACCCTTGTAGCCAATGAAGCCAGCCTAGTCAGTACTGGTGAGAGCTGTACTGGTCAGAGAAGAAGTGGATTCAATTTGTTTTGTTCCATGGTACTCCCCGAAAAATTTCTCGTCTTTATGGTTCCATATTCAATACATTCAGATAGCGATGATCTGATAGATAGATGTTTTATTGAGATTTATAAAATTTAGTGGTAATAAGAATTTATCCATGAAGAAATTAATAAAAAATTTGTTATTTTTTAATTAGCCATAAGTCGACTGATTTTGGCGACTCATCTATATTCCCATCGCTAAGAGATTCCATGCCAGGCATGTTTGTCTAGTCCGACAAGTTAGCCAAGCGAGCCTAACCAGCAATGATGAGCGCTCTTTAAAAAAAAAATCACCTATTTAAAATTTTAAAATAAGTAAAAATTTTCTAATTTTCAAATTTTTTCAAATTAGCAATTCAACATTTTCGATTCTGTCCGTTTAGTAGACAAGTAGATATCCACAATAAAACAAAGGATCTGAATACTTTCTTATTATTTTTTCTATTGTTATTATTATTTATTATTATTAATTGTTATTATTTATTATTATTAACTATTATTATTATTAATTATTATTATTATTAATTATTATTATTATTAATTATTATTATTATTATTATTATTATTATTATTATTATTATTATTATTATTATTATTATTATTATTATTATTATTATTATTATTATTATTATTATTATTATTATTAATATCATTGTTGTCAATACTAATATTATTATATTTCATATCATTATCATTATTATCATTATTATTAATATTACTATTATCAATATTATTATCACTATTATCATTAATAACAATATTTGTTTATTCAGAGACGGTGAATGGCATCGTTAATAGACTTGAAAAGATCAATTTGGTTGTGGAAGATTGTCTTGGAGATCATCGATCTATATGGTTATTAGGAGTCGGAAACAACTTAATGGCAAATAATCAATCAACCAAATGAAATACTACATGGAAAGATGAATTTAGGATTGATAATAGATTGAGTTGTAGTTTGTAGTTGATAAGGAATGATTATCAGATTTATCAAATTCCATCGTCCACCTTTTTTTTCCGAAGATTTTATTTATCAGTTTATCAGGTCAAATTCTTCCTTTCTATGTTTTCTAGAAAATATTATTGGTACTTATCTACTACATGGACAAAAATGAAAATGTGGTTGAAGAGTGTTTGCATGTTCCTTTTTTCCTTCAGCTAGTTTCTTATCTTAACTTTTTTTTTCCTCAAATTTTCCACCATTTCCTCACCAATAACTAAAAATGATTTATTTTGTAACATTTAGTCGCTCTACTATTCATGAATTAACATTGTAGTCACCGAACTCACCAAAAATTTACACCATCACCCCAGCATAGAGGGAAATTTTAGTGCTGTTAAAATGGTCTTAAAACGAATACGATTTAAATATGAATTTAGCGAGGGAAAATTATGTTTCTCATATTCTGAACAAAGAATTATCAGTGTTTAGATTTTTTGATGCTTTAGGGCTTTTCTTGACCTTTTGGCTCTTAACGTAGGTTTTTGGTACTTTTTGGTAAGTGGGGCTTCACAGAACTTCGAAAATACAGGCCTGGACCTGAAACTTAAGCTTAAACCTGAAAGCAGTCCATAGTTTTTATTAAACCTTCCGTAAAATTTCAGTGCATGAGTCAGAAAACAGAGCCTTTTTTTTCATTTTCCACATTTTTTTGTCCTTTTAATTTCATAATTCTGGTACTTAAAGCGGTTATTTAAAATTTTGGCCTCATTGGCGAATATCGATTCTCGAGGAATTCCGCTTTAAAAAAAAATTTTTGCTATTATAAACTGTTTTCTTGTTTTCCTCTTGTGAGGAACATAAAACTACAAAAGAAAATAACAATAATATTTGGAAGAATATAGAATTATAGAATTCTTTTTTTATATTCTTCTTGAGTGGTACTGAATTTTAAGAAATAGGTTAAATCCTTCGCGCATTCTCCATCAGTGCATATGGTTAAAATTCGCCAAAAATACTAATTTTGCGTGCTGCTATCAGTTTATCGTTATCAGTTATCAGTATCAATATTAGTATGTTAACCATTAATATTTTTATTAGTATATTAACCATTTTTCCGCATAATAAAACGTGAAATTTAAAGCCGAAATTCTTTCGCTTCCTTCGTTTTATAATTTATTTGAGTGGGTTGTTCTCGTTATCAGAGCACCACTTTTGGTGTTCTATTACGGACAGCTCCTTTCTTTCAAAATTCGGGTTTTACTTCTCGTTCATAGTTGATTAGTTATACTTACATCGCTAACTAATTCCTTGGCAAAATTTATTTCGGCCAAGAAGCCATTCAACGATACGAACTCAGCCAGAAATGGGTGAGCGCTTTTGGAAAGAGAAAAAAAATTTTATAAATGTCTTTCCATTATTTTGACCATTCATATTTAAATTTTATTACTTATATTTTAATTCAAGTTAAATTTTAAAAAATTTTCAAGAATAAATGGCAAATAAGGAATCGAATGAAAATAAAAATGATATGAATTTATTGAAATGCGAATCAAATGGAAATAGCGATGGATTAGGAAATTCAGCCAATCAACGGGTTAATTTCTATAATTTAATTTAATTTGTTTAAATTTATCCGTTATCATTTTATTCTTTTTAATTTCATAATTTATATCTGATTTGATAAATTATCAAAAATATTTATTTATGAGTAAATAGGAAGAGAAGTGCAGAATTGGAAAAGATTTATAAGGTAAACAATCAAAAAGTAGAATGGCTCAATGGGCTATTTCTCATTTTTCATTTCTCATTTTGGAGGTGTTGAAGTTCCATTTCCGGCACGAGTAAACGTATCTGTAAAAAATCATGGTGATGCTGGCGATTCGCCTATATTTCTATCGTTAGGCGATTTCTCTGGCAAAATTTGATGAGCCAACAAATCGATCTTTAACAAAGATGCTTTAGTTAATTAATAATAAATAGCATTAACAATTAATAAATAGTAGGCGCGTGATGTATATGTAAATGATGGAATTATAGTTATGTGAGATAGCGCGATGAAATAGAAAAAGGGAAAATGGTGTAAAGGGGGAAACAATGCATTTAAAAAGAAATTCCTTAAAAATCCTAATTAATTTATTAATTTATTTTGTCTTTGCTTATATTCATACTAATAACTAAATAAAAATCGGTAGTTAAGATAAATTAGAATTATATATTTTAGTATATTTTACTTATTTGGTGTTAGAATTGATTTAAATAATGGCACTATTAAAATATTTTAAAAAAAAAAGATTCAGTTGGATAACGGCATAAAAAGAGTTCCTGTAAATATCGTTAAATTAACTCCCGATGCTCGTACTCCAACATATGGATCGCGGTGGGCAGCTGGTGCAGATCTTTATAGTGCTCAAGATTGTGTCGTCCCTGCTAAAGGTTAATTTTCTTCATTATTATTATTTTTATTATTTTTTAGGAATTCAGTTTTAATCTAATGACTTTTAGGAAAATATTGCGTTTCAACCGATCTTCAATTAGAAATACCACAGGGGTATTATGGTCGTGTAGCACCTCGTTCCGGGCTTGCACTCAAAAATTTTATTGATGTTGGAGCTGGAGTTATTGATTCAGATTATCGTGGCATTCTTAAAGTTTTATTGTTCAATTTCGATTCAGATGATTTTCAGGTTTTATGTTGAATTTGCCTTCTCCATTCTTCTATTGTTTCCCAATTCAGTATTGATGTTGAAATTTTAAATTTTTTATAACTACTAATTTTTTGAGGTCAGAAAAGGCGATCGTATTGCTCAAATTATAATAGAACGCATAGCGCATGGTGAATTTATAGAAGTAAATCGCTTAATAGAAACTGATCGAAATATGAGTGGATTTGGTTCAACTGGTGTTTGACTGAATTTTTCATCCAATTTTTGCTGATCATTTTGTTAGAATTTCCAAAAATAGATCATTTTAGATTATTCATTTCAGCCAGAATTTACTGACTTTCTTCTATACCATTCTGTAAAGGAATTAAGTAGAATATAGCTTCATTCGTTGATGTCAGAAAAAAAAGCGCGAAAGAGGTAAATTAGTCCGATAGAAAAAATCAACATGAAAAAATTGTAGATTTTTGTGAATTTTATCAAAATTTTCATGTTTTTCTTTCTTACATTTAAATTTTTACTTCTTTAAATAAAATTCTCGATTTTCCATGGTGATTTTGGGACAAATTTTTGACTATAGCTCATTGCGAATGACTTTTTTTATCGTTATTGATCTTCTTCTTCCAAGAATAATCACCATTACCTGTTAAGCTGGTCCCACTGGCTACAAGGGTAAGACGTTCCCAAGTTTGTTAATCAGCTATTGGCGATTTCTTTTGCTATATTCAAACTGCAAATGTTCTTACACGTTGGTAATAAAGCAGTATTAGATGCATGATTTTAAATTCTAGTGAGATTGAAAATTTTCAAAATCGTTGAAAAAGGTAAAAAGAGAATAAATAAAAAATATAACATAATACATATAAATAATATATAAGCCTAAACCTAAGCTTGAGCCTAAGCCTAAACCTAAGCCCTAACCCTAAGCCTAACATAATTGATATAAATAATATGTATATGTATATACATTATATTTATATTTTCATTATATAAAATATATAAGTTTTCTAATGATTTCTCTGTACATAAGGCATAATTGAAGAAGATTTTTCATAAATTAGTTTGTGAATATTTTGTGCATAATGACGTTAAAATTTTAAATTAATTAGACTTAGTTTTGGTACTTTGTTAGGGACGATTTTTTTTATTCAAAAAAAACAAAACTCAATCAGAAAATGAATATGTTGACAGAGATATTGCTAATGCTTTAAATAATTGCTAGTTTGCTAGTATTTTCTTAGACAATAATACAACTCTTAAACAGGTATGTATTAATGATCATTCAGTTCAACCGTGTTGCTCATTCAATAATCACTCATATTGTAAATCTATCGAGTTAATTGAGTTATTTGTATTTGTATTTTAGCAATATGATCGTTGATATTATCGTTATCTGTTGGCCATCGCCAGTAATTGAGAACACTTATTGTCGATAATATTATTCGTATTTTTTTTTATATATTTTTAAATTTTTATATTTTAATAATTTTTTGTTTTTTTATTATATTTAATATTAAATTTCTATGCGTTTTTTTTCTATGTTTCCCATTCTGCGAACGTGAATATTTCTCTCTATGCAGTGATAATAAAAAATTTTTTTTATTTTAAATAAATGAATAACAAAAATAAATAAATATTATCAGTGAATAATAGAAATTATTAATCAACTAATCATTAATAATCATTGATTAATTTTAATAAGGCTTTCTAATTATTAATAATTATTGATTAATTTTAATAAGGCTATAGCCAAATACTTATGGGTGCTATTATTTCACTTAATGAATAATGCGAATAAAAAAGAATCTTCAACTTGGTCGTATAGTGACTTTGATCCATCCATATTTAAAATTTGAAAATTTGAAACAGATGGATTTGTATTCATGGTTCCAAACTATTTATTTACAATTGTACCTATAGTCGCCCAATTAATTTTATGGGTTTCATCAGTGTAAAAGGATATATTAACTGATAAATTGATTTGAACTGATTTGATTTACAATAGATTTTTCTGGTCGTCTTATTCCCAACTCTGACTTCGCTTCATTTCGATAATTTTTGTTATCACAATAATATAATCATATTAGTGCGAATAAAATATCCCTATGCTTTTATATCAATACGAATCCATTATTTTCCTTCAAATCACCAATAATTTATGAATTTTTTTAAAGCTATAATTATCTCTATGTAAAATTTCAAAATTTTTCTATGCAAAGATCAAAAATTTATGTGAATTTATAAAAATATTTATGGCTTTTTAAACCATTGAAAATTGAAATAAATGTTTATAAATATTATTAAATATTAAATATAAAAAATAAATATATATTTATATATGAATAAACATAAATAAATATTTATATATAAATAAATATTTTTATATAAATATAAATATAAATACTAAATATTTTTGATAATTTTTCTTTTTTTTTTTCGAAAAAAATTTCGAAGAAAAGAATAATTTTTGGAAGAAAATTATAAAAATTATATTATAAAAATAATTCAAATTAATTTTTTTATCAATTTAATGGTTGAATCTTATAAGATTTTTTTAGATTTAAAAAAAAAATTGCATTGCATTTGTTGTAGAAAAAATTTTTTTTATATATTTTTAAAATTTTATATTTTATAATATAATTTTTATGATTTTTAAAACTTCATTCACTTATAAAAATATAAAAATAACTTTTTAAAAAAAAAATAAAAATTGGATTTGTAAAAAAAATGGCAATTTTTAAGTGGAATTATGTCGAAGAATATTTTCATTTGTGAATGGCATTTTTTCTAAAAAAAAAAAAAAAAAATATTTGTTGCTGTGATACCTATTAAATAATCGCATAACGCCTCGATAAAGCCTAAGTAAAGTGGTCATTCTCGCCATAGTAATAATCTTTCATATTTCGTGCTAACCATCGATAATTCAATTTTTAAAATATTTCCTTTAAATTAGCATTCATTTTAAAACGATTTTTGAGAAATATATTCGAAATATTTGGCTATTACTACTAGCGATAGCGTCGGACTCGAGCAGACGTCTTGGAGACGTCTTAGCCGAGTAGCCAGCTGAGTCAGTCTAACGAGTAATGGTGAGAGCTGTTAGAAGAAGAAGAAGAAATGCTTGGCGTATATTTTGGCGTTCAATCACTCTCGGCAATCGCGATAAATCTAAATCTGCTTAGCGAATCACCTTGTCGCCTTTTATTTATTTTTTTATCGTTCCAATAATTTTCCTATTTAGAATAAGCTAAAATTTAAATTCCTAGCAAATAATATTGGTGCTAAATTGATGAGAATGGTGAATGGTACAATAAAAACTATTGGGAGAAAAAAAAAAGAACCACAATTTACGAATATGAAAATTGAAGAAGAAATCATTTTTTCTCCCTCTCTAAAGAGATTTTTTAAATAATACTAAAATAATTTATTTATTATTATTATTATATATTATATATTTATTATTATAATTATTATTTGCAGTAATTTTCTAAATGTTCATATTAGTCTTTTTACAATAAATGATGACTTCTGAAAACAATAAAATTAGCCGATCTTCGAAAATCATTCGAAATTCTAAGACGAAAAAAACTTTCATGGAAGTAAGTTATTTGAATTTTTTTTTTAAAAAATAATTTATATAAAATATTAAAGCAATTTTTTAATTTTAAAATATTAAATTTTAAAATTTTAAAAAATATAATAAAATTTTTTTTAATAAAATTTTTATTATAAAAAAATATTTGAAAAAAAAGAGTTTAAAAGGCCATTTTAAAGCGTCGATTCATTTGAAATCTCTGATTTTAAATTTCTAAGTTTCAAAAGATTTTATTGCAAAAAAAAAAGTAGAAAAATTATAAAATTTATTTGAGAAATTTTTAGGATAATAATTTCAAGCAAAATTCATTCTTTTTAACTCCATTGGTTAGTAAAAGAATTCGAATATATAGAAATGGCGATATCTTCTATAAAGGTTTAAAGGTTCGAATAGAAATTTGGCAAGATTTTCTTTTTTTATATGAGCGCTTATCATTGACTCTCTGATAAGCTCGTTCCTCACTGCCTTATCAGATGAAACAAAGATAAATTTTGCTATCGAGAAATCATTTATATGAAAAATATGGCTTGCATCATGGAGATTTTTGAAAAATAGATTTATTTCTACTACGAGTAATGATATTAGTGAGTTGATTTTTTAGATAGTGGTGAATACAAGGCATGTAAATAATTTACAAATTTTTATGGATGCTGTAAGTGATCGAATAGGATTAGTTAATGGTGCAAATAGATTATATACAATGGATGGTCAATTAATTAAATCGTTGGAAGAACTTGAAAATGATAAGGTAATGATAAATGATAATTTATCGTTATTTATCAGATGTTCATTCATCTTATGGTTCAAATTTTATCAAAAATCTTATTCTATTTTTTAATATTTAAAAATTATCTAATAATTTTATTTTTTTAATTTTTTTTGAATCGATTTTTGATAAAAATTTATATAAAAATTTTCTCTTTTTTGCTAATTTACTCAATTTTTTGACTTATAAAAATTTTCTTGAAATTCTGCTTTTCATCACCATTAATTTTTATTTTAATTTACATTATTATTATTGTTATTATTATTATTTATTATTATTATTGTTCTTATTATTATTATTGTTATTATTATTATTGTTGTTATTATTATTATTAATTATTATTATTATTATTTCGAAAAGGAATATGTGGCAGCAACGAATGTTTTCACTCCCTTGCCTTATGGACAACCCAAACTGGCAAATTTACACGCATCGTTTGCGCTGAAAACGCAAGAGCTATCAAAATCTTCATCACATGTATTATTACTTTTTTTTTATGTATTTCTTATTACTAATAAAAAATGTAAATTTAAAATATCTATAAAATCAATTCTTTGAAATGGTTTATCCATTTAATAACTAAACAATGCCTTATAATAAAAGTACCATTGAAATTTAGGTGAAAATTTTTGCTTAAAATTTTCTCATTTAATTTTTTTTTGGAATGATTTTTTAAAACTTAATTAGCAATTTATGATGAATACTTTAAGCCAGTTAAACCGTGTCGTTTATCACGCAGCGTTGAATTGAATAAAACGAATGCTAAATCGACGTCTAAACATGCAAAACAATCTATTTCTAATAAGGTAATTTTCATTAATTTTTATATTATTTATTGCTATAATCGTTTAATTTTGAAAATAAAAAAAAAGTTGAAATTGATGAAAAGTTATTTTACTTATGCTTATCAATTATATCAGTTTTTTATCAGAGTCAGTTTATATTCGAATTGGCATGCAAATTCATAAGTTTTAAAATTTTATTTTATTCTAGCAATTTTTTCATATTTTATTCTAATAACGATTTATTCTATTCATTTCTAGGAGATCAATGAACAATCGCAACAATCTGACAATGTGAATTTGAAACCGAGCCATAAAAAAGAAGGTTCAAAGTCAATTTTGGCTTTAAACAGAGTAAAATCTTATATTTTAATGAATTATTATTATTATTATTATTATTATTATTATTATTATTATTATTATTATTATTATTATTATTATTATTATTATTATTATTATTATTATTATTATTATTATTATTATTATTATTATTATTATTATTACGAAAAGGAATATGTGGCAGGAACGAATGTTTTCACTCCCTTGTCTTATGGACAACCCAAACTGGCAAATTTACACGCATCGTTTGCGCTGAAAAATTATTATTATTTGTAAATTTAAAAATGATTATTAAAATTAATTACTAAAAATTAGAAAATACTTAAAAATACTTTCCTGACGGTTTTTTTCCTTAATTAGTTCCTCTCAGTTGTCGCATTTCTCTTGAAAGAGTCTTTAATGAAAAAATTATATTTTTATCTTTTTATATTTGAATTTCTAGTTATTCTTGAAATTTTTGCTGCAATTTTTTTCAGGATGATACTTCTATTGAATCGAAGAAAACAAATGAAAGGTTATTTATCTTTCAAAATTTTTTATTACTAAAATATTTATTTATTTATTAAAAATATTGAAAATTTTCTTTATTCTAATTTATTTTCAAAGTTTAATAAATTATTATTATTTAAATTTAAACTATTCAAATTTTTTGTTTTGCCTTATTTTCTCGCATATTAATTAATTGGAATTCCGAAAAATATTTAAATATAAAAATAAAAAAAAATATTAAAAAAAAGAAATTGAAATTCTGAAATTCTCAGCAATTTAAATTCCTCAGAATTGCTTTTAGATCCAATCGAGTATTAAAGCCAACAAAAATTGCTAGTACAGCGAACAATGCAAACAATATGCAAGGAATATTATCCACTAAAAAAAGTCAATTTCTACTAATCGAAGCTAAAAATTAAAGATTTAAAAAAAATTTTAGTTAAAATTTTGTAAATTTTTATTTTCCAAATTTACGAATATCGAAACATATAAATTAGAACGCCAACAATAATTTTCAATTTTTTCCTAATTCATTGATTTGAAGTTAGAAATTGTGATGTTTTGATAATGTAAATTGTATTCTTATACATTTTTTTTTTAAATGATATATTTATAGTTTTATCAGATTGATTGATAATTGCGATAAGAAGGCTTTGTTTTTTGTCTTATTCTTATCAATATATTAATCATTTTAGATAATTTATCTTATTCGGCAATTTCATTAATTACCGTATCAAATTCGAGAGGAAGAAATAGTTCAATCAGTAGTACAAGCGAAGCTACCAATGATAGAATAAAGGGTAAGGTGATAAGAACTTATTAAACGAACGATTCAATGATAAGAAATCTTGCAGAATGAAAGACAAAGTGATAAGAATTTTTAGAAATTTTAAATTTTCAATTTTTTTTTTTATTGTGAAAATAATACTAACTTTTTTAATTTCCAATTTTTTTGAATAAGTACTGATTTTATTTAAATTTTTGATTAAATTTCGAGAATTTATAATTATATAATTTCTTAAAAACTAATTTTTTTTCTGTTAAAACACTGAGATGCACGAATGATAAGCGAGATAATTCATGAATATTTATAAGGCCATAAGGGGTAATTTTGAAAAATCGACAGCAGGCGAGTTATTAACGAATTATTTTCGTATAAAGACGATGGTTTACTTGCAAAAATTAATTTTTCATTTAAAAAAAAAAAAAAAATCTATTTATAGAAATCAGCCGATCCTCTTCAATAAGTGGTTCAGTGAAGTCAAAAGCAAACTCGAAAAATCCCCAAAAAATACAAAATTTACAAATTAGCCGAAAAATTAGTAATAATTTGGAAAATGGCAATGCAAATTCATTCCGTGAAGGTCAATCGGATAAGGAAATTTTTACCCATTTTTTATGTTAATAACGATTTATTAATATGGCGAAATAAATAAGATTTTAAATGGTTAATGTAATTATTTTAATGAATTATGAAGAATTATTTTTTATTTATTTATTATTATGTAAATTATTATTTCATTATAGTTAATTTTAATATTACATAAAATATAAAAATTATTAAATTATTAATTTTAAATAAGCTAAATGCATTTTATTATTATTTATTATTATGTAAATTATTATTTCATTATAGTTAATTTAATTTTAATATTACATAAAATATAAAAATTATTAAATTATTAATTTATTATTAAATTATTAATTTTAAATAAGCTAAATGCATTTTTTATTTAATAATAAATATTGTAAAAAAAATTAATTTTGAAAAACGATAAAAAATAAAAGATAAATTTTATTTTTATTTTTTATTTTTTAAAATCATTTAACAATTTCAAAGTCCAATAAATGATTGTCTGCATTAAAGCATTTGCTTCAGTTTGCTTGTTTTTATTTTTTCATTTTTGATAAAAAAACAATTTTTGTAAATTGTAAAAATTAAAAAATAAAATAAATCTTTTCTTTTTTACGTTATATTCGTTTTCAATGAATTCGAAATACAAAATAAATGCAAAATCGCAAAATATTAGCAATATCTTTTACAAATTTCATGCCTATAGGCATTTGATAGCAATTTAAATAGCAATTCAATCTAGTGACCCAGATTTTGCCTTGAAAGTGGTACCAATGGTACCAAAGCGTCGGTTATTTTTAATGCTAGCTTTTCTCGTTTTGGATGCGAACCAAAGGAGTAATCTCGAAATGGCGGTCTAAACAATCAACTTTTTTCGCATTACTATTTTGTATATTATATTTGTTATCACTATAAAATCCAGTTTTCCTTGGATAATACGTTTTGATAAAAATCTTCTTTATGGCCATGTTTGGCCATATTTTAGCTAAAAAAAAAAGTATTGAGGTATATTAGCACTTACTAAACGGACCCTCTTAAGATTCGACATAAATTGGTTTGAAGAGATCAATGAATCGATCGATATATTCATATTTATATTTTTGGTTATTTTTGGTGCATAAAGGTTCTTTACTCCGCCGTCATTTAATCTATTGTATTTACGCATATATGAAATTCTTTATTTATCTATTTTTATATACCTTTTTTATAAGTCCATAAATTTTTTCGATCTTAACAGGTGGTACCACGGAATGGATTTAGGCCTTTGGCCCCTCAGTTAACCCAAAATTATAAATTCCCATTGTTTAACGATCTAAAACCATTGTTTCGAATATCGGAGAATCGCAAGCGTTAATGATTATAATGTTCGATATAAATAGTTTCTGAAAGAAGAACGGCAGAGCCGCCGTAGCTCAGTCGGTTAGAGCGTGGGTCTAATAAGCCCAAGGTCGCAGGTTCGACCCCTGCCGGCGGCATCGTAATTTTCGTGCGTTTTTACTTGGGCATCGCCGTTTTTTATGAATATTTATTACAATAACTACTAATTCTTTACTAATAAATGTTAAAATTTCAGTTTTTTTTTATATCAAAACGAATAAAAATATTTTCGAAAGACAAAAAGTCAATATTTTGGTGCTAATTATATTAATCAAGTACCACGCTATTGTCGCGTACCAGGTAGTCCATGCATATTTCTATCGGATAATGTGAAATTTCTAATAAAATTTTCCTCATCTACTCGTAAGAAAGCGTAAGTCGAGTAAAATTAAGCGAAAAATTTTAAGTAGTATTAACTTTGCCTTTTATGTGTTAATTTGACTATAGCAAATATTTTTCACGTTTAAACACGTTTCACGTCTCATTATCATTATCATATCACTCATTAAATTTTTTAGTGATTTTATTTTGATTTTAACTGATAGAAAAAGGTCATTTGAATTCTTACGATATCTGTTCTTTGATAATAAATACGACGAGGTCAATTCTCTTACGTAATTTTTTTTTTTTGGTCAACTGCCAGTTTAATTAATAGTTCGTAGTGACCTTTTGCTGATCGTCGCTATATTCTCTATCGAACTAAAGCATTTTCCTTTAATTTGATAATTTTTTCTAGAAAATCATTTAAATCGGATAAACGGGATTTTTTTTTTTTACGATTTTCCCTATTTATAATCCATTTAAAACTAATTTTAAAAAATTACTAGTGATTTACTGATAAAAGATAAAAATAATAAAAGTGAAATCATTCTAGGAATTTCTCATAGAATATTGTTTATCAGTTTTGATTCGATTTATTCAGTTATTTATCAGTTTTGATATTAGATTTATTTAGTTATTTATCAGTTATTTCTCATATTTTTATAATATTTATAATATTTTTATTTATTTTTATTGAAAAATGAAATAAATTCAGAGAGAAAAAAGAAATTTGACAAAATTTTCCTTCTTAACGACATAATTTTTTTTTTTTTCTTTTTTTATAGCGAAATTTTTCTTTGTTCAATAGTAAAAATAGTAAAAACGTGGCGCCAAGAAAATTTTCACTATTCTTTTATTGTTCGCGCAAATTGTTCATTGTTCGACTTAGCAAACAATAAATACTTTTCGACTTCGATTTCTTTTTTGATTTTTGCATATAAAAATTTAGTGAATCGCTTAAAACAAACGCTAAATCATTATTGAAATCGATTATTGGTGACGAAAAATAATAAATAATAAGTAATAATAATAATAATCGTAGGGGGGATAGAATGGCTCAGTGGGTCGTTGCTCAATTGGGAGCGCCGATGCTGAGGTTCGATTCCCCGCAGGAGTAAACCTGTACAAAAATCCGGGTGATGCTGGTGACTCACCTGTATTTCTATCACCAAGGGACTCCCTAGCATATTGCCCAGTGCGACAAGCCAGTGGAGCGAGTTTAACCAGTACTGGTGAAAATTCTTGAAAAAAAAAGAACAGTAATAATAATAACAATAATAATAATAATAGTAATAGAATTCTCGTTTGAATTTTATCTCTTCGTTGCCAAGTAAAGCCAAAAACAAATTTATTGAACTTTCAGAAACTTTCTGATAATTTTGTGATTTTTGACACGATAAGATAGTGATAATTCTTGCATTAATACTGATAATCCGTTTGGTCGATATTCTCTCATGCGATTTTTTTTTTTTTATTCTTAAATAATTATGATAATTTTGAATTTTTTTTCATATTTTACTTTTAACTGATAACTATAACTGATTTTCGTTACCATTTCTTTTTAATCGGTAATGCTTTATTGATAAAATACTTCATATTTTTTTCTTCATCTGTTATCTAGAATATTATCTTTCTGTTAAGTTGAGCGTTTGCTGATAATTGTTATCAAATATTTATCGAAGAAGTCAAAAATACGATTTTTTTTTAGAATCAAATATGGAAAAGCAGTAAGTTTCAAGTAAATTTTAATAATTAAATAAATAAATATATTAATAAATCCATTAATAATCGAGATGATGATTTCATTTCGTATTTATTTCATTTGTCTGTCATCTGCTTTTTGTCGATCAATTCTGTTCAATGTCATTTAAAATGAAAATGATTACTTGGCTCGCCTAAGTTCGGATTATCCGCTATCCTAAAATTATCCTCCTAAAATTGCCTAAAAGATTTTATATTTGTATAGTTATTGTAATTTAATTTAGGATGGTCTATTCGATGGAAGAGAAGAATGAGATTGGCCTAAATTTAGGCCTACAAAAAATTCCACTCTTAAATTTATTTTCAGGATTATTATGGAAATTTTTAAGATTCTTTTTTAAAAATTATATATTTTCATACTATTAAATTTATTATTCTAATTATTAATTGTTAAATTAAATTTTCATCGAACAATTTTTATTTATTTCAAATATTATTATTTATTTATATTTAAATTTTGGCCGATTTTTTATTTATTTATTTATTTGAAGCGGCCATAATAATAAAATTATCGTCTTTTCATCTCTCTAATGATTTATTTAAAAACTAAGAATTTGAATACAAAACAATTTTAGAAGCGATTAATTAGAAAAAGATGGTTCATATGGTTCACATGGCACTTATGATAATGATAATGATAATGATGATAACGATGGTGATAAAAATTATGATGATTGGCTTATTAGAGAACGTCAAATAAATCGCAATAAATAATCCACCGATTCTAGCGATTTTTTCATTTTACAAATTTCGATGATTGATTTGTTAAGTCTGAAGGAAAAAAAAAAATGATAAAAGATAAAAGAAATTTCTCTATTTGACAAATAATTAATATAAATCAAAAGGACGATGTAAGCGCATTGACAGATAAGAAATAAAAGATATATCATAAAAATTTTGGAGCGAAAAAATGAAAAAATTTTTCCGATGTGAACGGTAAAAAAATTTTTACAATTAATCAACATTAATAATTTTTATAAAAATATTTTTTTTATTTTATATTATCACTACCTATGATAATATTTTAATAGTGATAAAAATATTATTATCAGCAAGTATGGGGCGACGACAATTTTCTAAGATTTATAATAAATAGACGAAAATTTCTCCGAAAGATTATCAGCGATTACGTTTACTCGGTCGCGAATCATATTTCATTATATGATAAAGGTAATTTTTTATCAATGTTTTTTTCGAAAATTGATTTTAAAAAAGCGAGAAAAATTGAAATTTTATAAATATAGAATTTATAAATTTTACAATTTTAATAATTTTTAATAAATTTTTCATTTACTTACTTATTTTAAAATTAATTTTTTATTAAGAGAATTATTTAATAATTATTTATTTTTTTTTTGAAAGTAATTTTAGATTTTAGCTTTTATCATTAATTCGTTCGGATTCACGTGTTGACGTCTTCAGTCTTTTTTTTTGCGTGATTATCATTTTCTTTTCACGTAAGTTTGTCTTTTGTCGTGATTTTCTCGTTGTATTGCAATTAATGTGAAGTGTTTTCACATTGCTAAATTATTTGTTCATATGTTTTCAACGTGAATCAGCGGCTTCTATATTGGCTGAAAAATCAAATTTGAACTTTATATTCATTCGTCTAAAACACATATTTTTGGGACACAATGGTCAAGTGGCGTGCAACATCGACTTGGGTCAAGGTGTGCAATATCGACCGTGCAAAATCCACTGGAGTCAAGCGTGCAAAATCCACTGGGGTCAAGCGCCGTCCAATTGTCAATGGACGAGGCTAAACTTATTACTAAAACCTGAAGTGATTTGAGGGGCATTTAAAATTTTCCTTTATAGTATGGTACCTCAACTGGTTTCTATGATTTCACACCTTAAAAGTTTATACAATTAAGAATTTTTAATAAATAAAAATTCAAAATCTTAGGAAAAAATAAGATTTAAAAAATTGCGGTTATAAATAAATTTATTTTAAATTTCGCGCCAAACTCGAAATTCCCCGCCGAAAAATAAATTTGGCGGGAAAAAATTGAGTGGCGAACGGTTCAGTGTTGCTTTGTTCGTTAATTACCATTGTTGTTTTCGTCGACCGTTGACCTTTCGTTTGACCTTTCGCTAATCGTTTGTGAAAGTCCTTTTCTATATATTATATTGTTTTTTATTATTATTGCTGCTAATTTTTATTTGTTTTGATCAGATTATTTCCTATTGATTTATGGTACCACAGCTAGGATTGCGTGTTCAATTTTCCTCTATTTCATATCCCCGCCGGATTTCCTTCGTGATTTATGGTACCACAACTAGGATCACGTGTTCAGTTTTCCTTTATTTTATATTCTCACCGGATTTCCTTCGTGATTTGTGGTACCACAGCTAGGATTATGTGTTTAATCTTCCTTTATTTCGCTTTTTTGCCGGATTTCCTTCGTGATTTGTGGTACCACAGCTAGGATCGTGTGTTTAATTTTCCTTTATTTCATACTCCCGCCGGATTTCCTTCGTGATTTGTGGTACCACAACTAGGATCGTGTGTTTAATTTTCCTTTATTTCGTTTTTTCGCCGGATTTCCTTCGTGATTTGTGGTACTAGAATTGCGTGTTAATTCCGGTATATATTCGTATTGCGTTTATAGTTTTGTATTAAAAGAATTTTTAGATCAGCGAGTTTTTATAAGTTCATTATTGAATACTTAGGGCGTTTCTATATATAAATATATTTTTTTATCGGTCTTTTAGGGTTCGAATGAACGATAATATAGATGTTGGTGATAGCGCATTACTATCATCGTCATCGTCTCGATCACCAATTGGTGACTTAAGCAAATCGAGAAGTAGGTCACCGAGATCAAGAACTCTTGAACGAAGAGATTCATGGTTATCCAGTTCTACAACAAAGCAACAATTCACCGATACACAAAGTCAAGTCAAATGTAAAGAAATAAAATCACCGCATAAATTTCGGTCAAAATCAGTTGAACCTGGATCTTCTCGATTATTATCGCCTAAAATTAATTCCTCTAAACCAGCAGTTAAAATAAAAAGTTTCGAAATCGATAGCACGGTTATTTTTTTATAATTTTCTTTTATTTTGCATTATAATTTTTAATTTGTTTTTTATTTGTTTAATTTAATTATTTATGGAATTAGATGAGCTTCTTCTTAAAGAAAACAAGCTTCTCGATGATCAATTTCATGATAATTAGAGAATTTAAAAATTGAAATGGTTTCTCGAATCGTCAAAAAATATATTTCAAATATATCTTCAAAAATAAATATATAAAAATAAAAATATGTAAAAATAAATATAATAAATATAAAATATATATATGTAAAATATTTTTCAAAATGAAAAAATTATAATTATTATTTAGATTGGCGAAACCAACTCACTGGAACGTTAGTAAATATTTTTATTTCTAATGTTTTTTAATTTTATTTTTGATATTTTAATATTTTTAACTAATCGATAAAAAGGATTTTATAATTTGAAAATATTCTTGCAAAATATTCATTTTTTCTTCTTAAAATTTTTATTTTATTATTTTAAGAATAGAAAAAAGTATTTTAAAAATTTTTCGATTTTTATTCAAAAATTGAAAAATAAATATTTAAAAAGTTAAAGGATATTTTAGAAGAAGACAATAGTCCTCTCGTAACAGCAAGTGAGAGACGTTTACGAAAAGAAAAAGCGTTAGGTGCATTATGTATAAAGTAAGAATTTATTATTTTTAATATTTAAATAAAAGTATTTTTGGAAATTTATATAAATTATAGTTTCATAATGGTTTGTTAAATAAAACATTTTACATTTGCCTTTTTTAAATTAGATTTGTAAAATTTGCCGAAGAATACGCTGCAAAGAATAATGGAGAATTAACTTTACCAGCAGTTGCTGAGCTTATGGGTTAGTAAATTTTGGTTTTTTTTTTTAAATGTTTTCATAATAATGATAATTAATTTAATTCTTGGATGTTTTCAAACTCACTCGATCCAATTTTATTTTCATATCATCCTCTGGCAAAGATGTTTTATCCTAAAGGATAACGAAAATATCAATATTTGTTTTTTTAGTTTTAATTTGTGGAATTTTACATCAATTTGGAGTGTTATATTTTAAATTTTCAAAATATTTTAAATATTTTTAAAATTGCTATTTATTACATTATTGCTTTTTAAAATATTCAATAATTCAGGCGAAGAAAGGCGAAGGATTTATGATATTGTGAACGTATTAGAGGCATTAGAAGTTTTAAGCAAGAAATCAAGGTGTACTTATTTTTGGCATGGCATGGGACAATTGCCAAATTTGATAGCCGTTTTAGCGGTGATTATTTGTTTATAAAATAAAATGATTTTTCGCTATTCAAGCGTAATTGACCTTAGGAAAGAAGATAAAGTGATCTTTTCAGAAAGAAGCTGTTGAACAGCAAGTTGCTGAATTATATAAACGTGCTGAATTTTGTATGAATCAGATGAAGCCACTTTCAGAAAGTGAACCAGGTCAAGAAGTAGTTGGTAATTATAAAAATTTCTTATTGTCTATAACGTTTCAAAATATTTTTTGATAATTATTAAATTATTTGGAATAATTTTTTCGTATCATTTGAATTATTTTAATATTTTCCGACGTTCACATATTTCATATTTCTAAAATTTTTTTACATTTTACATTTATTTTTCTATGGATTATTATGATAACTTATGATCCTTGCTGCTATTTATTACATTTTTGTTTTTTAAGGTAGTTGGGTGGAAGTTGGAAAAAATATCCCGGTTGGAACTCGAACTTTGCACAATTCTGTGCGTGCTTCACTCAGTTCTTTGTGTCGCCGTTTTTTAATAGTTTTATTGGGTGCTAGAACCATTACTGATGTAAGCTGTAAAGTTATTTTGTCCTTTCTTTAGCTTTATTTTTCTTTTTACCTCTTAATCGAAAATTGCAATTAATTTTGTTTTTATCAGGTTTTTTCAATTCAATTCGGCAATTTAGGCTTATTTTAATGTCTCTTGATAGATTGGAAGTCATTGTCGTATTCTTTTTTTATCCTTTTTATTTAGCGTAGCATTTGCGGTTAAATTTTTTTGGAAAATGGCCAAATATTTGACAATAAATCAAAGGCGGTATAATTTTTCAATTTCTTTTTATAGGAGAAAGTTCACTGGGTGAGTTTGGATATCGCTAGTACGATTTTGTATAAAGATCCAAGTAAAGAAGAATATGTCGCTCCTCCGAGAGGTGAATCTGTTTCATTTCCTATCTTATTGCTTAATGATTATTACATTATTACATTGATTTACAACCACTGAGTTGCTAATGAGAAAAAAATTTTTTTTTTCAGCTCGGTGCCGTCGTCTTTATGATGTTGCAAATGTACTAATTGCTCTTAAACTTATCAAAAGAGGTCATTTTATTTATGGAACAAGAAAAACAGCTGGTTTTCTCTATTGTGGACCCGAACCAAGTAACATGCTTAAAGTCTTGTAACGGTGTTTATAATAAATAATTTTTTTATTATTTTATTATTATTTTGTTCTTTTTATAACTTAGACATTCGTAGTTTTTTTTATAATTATAAGAAATCTTACCAGATGTGCTGAGTTATAGATAGAATTTATGAGTTATAAGATCTAATATTGAGTTTTCCGGTTTGAGTAACAACCAAGTTATTTCAGCAAAAAAAGTATCTGAGACAGGTTCTTCAGTTCAGCATTCAACTTCATCTCATATTCGCTATAGCCATTCGAATCCAACTGCGACACCTAATATGCCAGATTCAGTGTATTTATTTTCAATTTATTTTCTTATTTTTAATTCCAATATGTAAATTTTAATATGGAATTTATTGTATAAAACATACTGGATTTAGACAGGAAGATTCGCAACAAAAAAGTTCATTAGCTTCTTCAGAGAATTTTCGAAGTGAAAATCCGCTTTTAAGTGGAAGTGGTAGTTTAATACAGGTATTTATTTATTGCCGTATTTTTTATTGGTCGATTTGCTATCGTCAAATTCGAATTTTCTATTGTGTAATTTGTTTTTTGTTAAAGGACTCTTCATCTTCTTCATCTCGACCACTGGCAAGAATTGATAATATAATTGAGAGCGATCATGCCTCTGCCAGAAATCAAAATATGCCTCCTCCTGTTTTTTCTACTTTAAATCTTGCTGAAAAACGTGCTTTTAATCAAGTAAGATAATTTTTTAAATATTTTTTTAACAAAACATAATTATGAAAAAATTTTGTGAAAAAAAAATTTTAAATAAAGATTTAATTTAAATTTTTTTTTAAATTTTTTGATTAAAATCCTACATTTTATTTTTTCGGTCTTTCTTTCCACTTAATTATTTTAATTTGTGGCTTTTTAGGTTTACTAGTATAATCACGTATAATCATGTATCATATCATTTTCATTTATAGTTGAATTATACACTGAATTCACCGAAGACCTTTGGCACTCAAGATCTCTCTCTCAGTCCCGAACAACTATTAGCTTATTTTACTTGCGCTATGCAAACAGGTATTTCAGTATTATCGAATAACTTTTAAAAAATAGATTATATTAAAGTTGATATTGATATATATATTAAAGTATGTATATATGCACCGAAGCCCTTTACTTGAAAAAAATCTAATTAAAAGTTGATGTCAAAAGCACAAAGGAACAGACAAATGTTGAATTATACACTATTAATTAGACAAAGGTATTTTTGAAATTTCAGGTCAACTTCCAGTTGGCAGTGCTTTTCCAGGATCTTCAGTCTTATCTCTTAATAATTTTAATCTGCCCAGGTTAGTGTTGCATCATATAGATTTTCAATTTTCTTTATATATTTCTTTATATATTTCATTGATTGCTACGGTAATTAATGCAAATCTTGAGATTTTTCGTACGTATTCTTGCCGCCTTTGGCGAGAATTTCGCAATAGAGTATCGTTGTGCAATAATTTTTAGCTTGAAAATTCATAAAAGTGGCGCGAATGCTATATTGCGTAATAATAGAAAATGTCATTCGTCCGATTTGTCTTTAATGAGAGAGAAAATAGTTAATTAGATTGGGAGAAAAAAAAGCTAGTTATGGCGTATGAAGATAAATGAATCCGCAGGAATTCCTAAGACTTATAAGATTTATGATTCTATTGTTTGTCATAACATTTATGGTGTGTACATTGGAGAAATATGTGCATTAAGTAGTTTGTTCAGAAATCTTCTTCCTAACGTTTTACAATAATCTTATGTTCTTCGCTTGGAAATTAACTTTTCCGATAAATGATGAACTGACAATTGATAAATGACAATAGAATAGCTATGGTTTTATCACTGCAGCCAAATATCGTTATGATTTCATTTTTCTTTTTCATCCTTCACTTTTATTTCATTCAATTCAAAGCAAAATCATATGGCGGAAAAAGTGGTCCATGGGTATCACTAGATTTATGAAAATGCGTGAAAAAAGATGAGAGGCCTGTGATATAGAATGTTAATCAGTTAATTATCAATAAAAGCTCGGTTTCTCGCAATACTTTATATGGGCAGTTTTCGCTTAAATTGTTTAGCAAAATAGGTACAACAATTTTTGCTAGAATATCCAATTTTAACTTTAATTTGGGGTTTTTATTACTACAATTTGAGAAATGGTTTTATTTTTTCGTATAATTTTTATTTTTTAAGATTTATTTTCCTATGTTATTGTGTACTGTGTGAAATTATAATCAAAAATGTCCATCAAAAATTAAGTCATAGAAATTACATTACATGGTTTTTCAGTGTACCGCCGTATTCTTATCAGCTTTATCAGCCTGGATATATCAATCCTCAGTTTTTCTATGCCCAAAGGTATTGTTACATTCATATTTATCTTTTTCTTTATAATTTTTTAAAAAATTCTCTTCATTTTTCCAATTTCAGTGGTATAAACCAACCGAAAAACGATATGGGACCTGATGGAAATCAGAAATAAATATGAATACATGACTTTAACATCACACTTCGTCGCTTTATCAATTGGCAATCTTTGAATTACTGGCGTTTGTTAAATTAAATAACGGCTCCAATAGAATATATTGAATGCTGAAATTGTTTTTAAATTTACTGAACTTATTTATTTTATTTTTTTATCCTTCAGTATTTTTTTATTTTAGAATGAATTTTGGCGCATATCATTAGATTGTGTTTAATAGTCCTTTTTATACGTGAAATTTTTTTCAGCTTTTCTTTAAATAACTAGTCGAATAACTATTAATTATGAAAAAATGGTATTTCAATTTGTTTTATATCTAATTCCATTAAATACCTGCAAATAATAATGGAAAAGTTGTTCGACAGAAATAATCCATCTTGTTATAGAGAGGACATCTTTTCCTTTGAAATAAGGGACATTTCATGAATCGAGCTGATGTCAATTGACAATAGGGTGATGATTCGATTTGACTAAAGCTGACTGTTAGGTTATAGTTTTTTTAATTTTTGTAATATTTTTAGGTACAAATTTTAACAGATTTGTTTGCAGATAATTTATTATTATAAATTATGTAGAAATAATTAAATTATTAATAGACAACATTTTTGTTAATAATTTGTAATAAAAAAATTATTTTTAAACAAATTTTTTTACTTTTAAAATATTCGGCTTACTTTTTTTACTTTTAGACGATATTTTCAATTTGTTTTAAGTGCTTTATTCTTTATTCTATATTCTTTCATTATCAGATAATTGTTTCCATTTAACAAAAAAGAAAAAAAAATTTGGAAATCTATTTTTTTAATAGATAACAGAATTATTTGCAGATGATCAAAAGTATGAATGGAAATGATTATCAAAATCTTTAAATTATTCTAGTGGGTTTCGCATAAATTTCGCTTTGTTGCTATTTTCATTTGGGAAAAAAAAAATTTTTTTTTGCTCTTTTACTTTGTTCATTTGTTACAGGGGTTCCTAAGTATTTTGTGCTGTGATAATTTGATCTCTACGAGTTTCTTGGGAAAGTTCTTAAAGTTTATTTAAACATTAAAAATATATATATAGGAATATAGGGAAGATTGCGAAAATAATAAAACAATAAAAGAATTGCTGTGGTTTTAATACGGGTATCTTTTCTTGAAAATATTGTAGTAGGGTTCTATATAGAGCGGTACAATTTATGTTTTTAACTAAAAAGATTTATCTCCTGATTAAGAACCCTTGTATTAAGTTAACAGGCGTCAAATATTTGCTTTCTTTCTTTTTCTTAGCTTTTTCAAAGTCTTCTTCATTGCCTTCTTGGTCCTAAGGACTAATGTTTTTTGAAATCAGTTAAAATTTGTATAATATTAAAATTTCTAATTTCTATTATTCTTTGCGTTGCAATTAATATTTTCAATATTGAATGAAATTAATGTATTTCGGGCCTTTGGAATAAAATCATTTAAATTTTTTGTTATAAAATATTGGTAAAGAAATATTGTTTTATTTAGATAAGTAAAGAATTTTAAGAAATTTCAAAATATCGAAATATTACAGTCTGTAAATGTATAAATAGCCAAATATATTTCGGTTACCTATTGTGAATGATGTTGAGTTCTCGGCACCGAATTTCCAAAGAACGCCTCCGCTTCTTGGTTAGACTTATTTTTTCAAATAAACCAATTATTGCTAATTCACAAAGATTTAAAGATATGAAAGCGAAGCAAGTGATAAACCATAAGTCGATTGCCTAAAAAAATTTTCAGAATTCGCTTTTTTTTTATGATTATTAGATTGGTATTTGTTATTTAATTCGCCGCCTTTCAGGTAATAATAAACTACTCGGTTTTTCAATCGTTCACAGCAGTTAGTGTTGGATGTCCGTTCGTATTGGCTCATTGAAATACAAAGTGTGGAAAAATTTCCAAAATTAAGCTTCAAAATTATTAGGGAGCGAAAAGAAGCCGAACTAAAGACGATCAACTACAACTGCAATTTTGGCTTGGCCAAAGTTGATTAGAAAAAAATCAAGTTATAAATGAGTCAATTGAATTCATTTACCTTAATATATGGTACTCGAGGTAGATTTTTAATAATATTGCCCATCTGAAATATTCAGCTCAGTTAAAAATAGTTTAGAATTTTTTTGTTCAGATTTCTAGTTTTATAGCGAAATTTTCTTCAAAATTTTTATGGTAAATGTATCGTTTAATAACGATTTTAATAAAAATTATAATTAACATTCAACTATCATTGTTTTATGGTTTATGATTTTGAAAAAATATTGAAAATTCAAAAGGATTTAATGAATTTGACGATTTTTAAAAATTTTTATATATTGGTTAATACCTGGAATGTTAGCGCCATGAAAGCGTTAACACTCAAGATTATTCGTGCTTGAAGTGCCCGACCGTCAATCCAAAAAGAGATCCATGAAATAAATACAGAAAGGCAACTGGGAAAATACACCTGCAATATATTAAAGTGTACAATGGTAAATATTTAATTAATGTTTAATTAATGTTCTTGATTTTTTCTAGATTCTAATTCTAAAATTCTAAAATGTAAAATTCGACAACAAATCACAGGTTTTTTGAATTCAACGAATCCATTTACTTGGCGAGGAAGTAATTGGTTTTTTCACCAAGAAGATATTTGGTAGGCTTTTAATATCACTGATTTCATTTTTAATGATAGGTATTTCCTCTAAAGATCGTGAATATTGGAGTGATTGTAGCTTGTCTTTGGTTGGAGCTACTTTACACTTAATTATGCTTATCCTATTTTCGCGTTTACACCACAATTCGAATAATAATTGAGAATAGTTTTATATTTTATGGTGAAATACCTGTAAAATATAAAATCCATATAAACGTTTAAAAGTAAAAGTGATTGTTAAATGATCCCACGTGCCACCCGAAGAAAAACGTTTTGAACGACCATGCATAACGTGTTCAAATTGGAAATCGGTTAATTGAAACTAAAAATTGCCAATTTCTTCATATTATAATATAAAATTGTTAATCGGCAATCCATAAAATTTGCATTTACCTCGTTTGCAATTGTGATTGGAAACCATTTCATCCATCTTACTCGTACTTCATTCGTTGAATAACCGCAAGATTCGAGAGCAAGTTGACATTGTTGGCTATCATGTGGGAATTTTTCCAAATTCATCGCACATCGACCTTTTATTCGGATTATAAAAAAAAAAAAGGAAGCAATTAAATAGCAATAGGGTTTTTTTTTTATCGAAATATAATAATTTATTCTCGATGATTAAATCTCATTACTAATGCATGAATAGTTTTTAGCTTTATTTTTTTACGGGGTTAAAGATTTTTCTATATGGAAGGATTCATCTACTACATATCGAGCATTATAGGTTCGATTGCCCAATAGAAATAAATCATTTAAAAAATCCTGTTTATACGAGTGACTGGACTGCATTTCGTTTCTATCGTCATCGATTGGCTCCCCGCTTAAATCATGCGAATAGTTCAGCTGTGTTAGCCCGACTACAGGTGGTAAGTGTTAACGAGTTTTTTTTGCTTGTTTAGATATATCTTAGGTGATCTAACAGAATATGATGATTCTCCCTTCATAAATAAGTAGCTAATTTTTCTATTTTTATTTTTAAAAAAAAGGGTTCAAAAAAGAATTAATTAGTTATAGAAATAAAACACAAAAGTACCTATGATTCAACCAAACAGTACCATTAGGATAAATTATGAGAAGAATATTGGTTTCAGGTGATCTGAATGATTAAAATGGTGAAAAATATTCGTTTTCATGGAACCATAACCACAATTATTGATATTTATTGATAATGAAAAAATTCTTTTATTAGAAATAAATTTTTATAAAAAGTAAATTTTTCTTCTCAGGAAATGTCTATTTGATGAAAAATTTCGTGACTAAAATTTTTTGAGAAAAATGCATAAATAAATCAAATTTTTATTAAAAATTTATTGAAGTCGAAATTATTAAACATTCAAATGTAAACAAATGAAATTTAATAAATGTAACTTAGAAAATGAAAATTAAATTTAAGAAAAAAATGAAATTTTATATTGAGAAGGATTAGAATGATTGAGAGAGGTGAGCTGCTAATAGATAGCTGCTATTCTCATTTTGTGGTGTGGTGTTGTGGTGTTTTGTGGTGTTATAACTCTGTTCCTGACAGAAATAAGCCTATCTTTCAAAAATCCTTGTTTTTCTGGCGTTTCATGCATACTTCTATTGCTACAAGCAAAATTTGTCGCTTCTGAGATGTCGACAGAATCGTAGAATAAAAAATTTAAAAAGTGTGAAGACAGTAAAAAATATAATTTATGAATATGCAAATTTTAATTTTCAATAAAAATTCTTTATTAGAAAGTTTTTTTTAAAAAGATTTTATATTTTTTTATATTTAAATATTTTATATATTTTAATATATTTTTTATATTTTATATTATATCTTTATATTTATTTTTTATATTTATTTTATACCTAAATTTTTTTTTAAAAAATTTTATATTTTGTAAAAAAACTATAATTCAAGAAATTTAAATAAAAAAGGAAAATAAATAGAAAATAAATTTACGTATGTATATATGAATATTCGCTATCAATAAAGCAAATATTTGGCGTCCATAATCTATTAACGATCGAATCATCTAAACTAAGATTTTTTTTGCACGATAAATGCGAATAAATTAATCGAGGATCTTCCCAAATTTGCGAGAACCAAAGATCCACAATGAACGACGATGTTATCTCGGACAATAAACTTATATCTTGAACTGTCACCTGAAATTTTTTTTATTAAATTATTAAATTTTAAAAATTTTTATTAAAAAATTTTTTATTAAAATAAAATCGTTTAAATTATTTGCATATTGAAATTTTTTCAGCCTTTAAAATCAGATTTTTCTTTTTTTTAATAAAAGAAAAGAAATTAATTTTTTTCACTATTTTCTTCAAAAAATTTTTGTATTTAAAAAAATTTTAAATTATATTTATTTATATATTTTTGTACTTAAATTTATATTTGTATTTGTAATTTTATATTTAAAATTATTTATATATTATATATTTAAAATTATTTATTTATTTATATATTTAAAAAAGAAAAAAGTAAAATTTCCATGATTTGTGATGATAATTTATATTGGAGATGGAATAGCTCAGTGGGTTGTTGTACTTATTTCAGATCGTCAATAACGCAGTTCAATTCCTAGTGGGAACCTGTCAAAATCGGTATGTTTGCTGCCTACTCATTCTTTACTTCTATCACCAAATGATGCTTTGACAAAATTTGTATCTTCTGATAAGCTAACGAAATAAGCCTAGTTAGAAATGATAAGATAAACGTTCTTAGAAATAATGATAACAATTAATCGTCTAGAAATTTTAATAAAAATTATAATTATATTTTTACAATTATATTTTTTTTCAAATTGAATTTAAATATTTTTAAAGGAAAAAAGAGAAATTATCGAAATATTTTTAAAAGAAAAAAAATTTTTAATATTTATTACTTCAACAATAACATTCGTTGACTGATTTGTCGGAAAAATGAATTTATCATAATTCGCTAAAAGAGTTTTCATAATACTCGTACGTTGCGAATCGAACTGATTACAAATTTTTGCTGCTATCGTCGATACAAATGTTATACATAATTTAATATCGAATATAAATCGCATTTAAATCGCAGAATTTTTTTTTTCTTAAATTTAATATAATTTAAATTAATTTAATTAAAATTAAAAAAATAAAAAAGTTAAAAAAAAATTATTACGGCAGAATTTTTGCTTAATTTTAATTTATTTAATTTTAATTTTTATTTTTAGTTTATCGTTCAAAGCATTTCTCATTTCTCATTTGATTGGTTTTTTCTAATTCATTTCGATAAGACATATTTCACAAGAAAGTTAGGAAAAACCTGAAATATAGGTGAGTAAAAATTTCGATAGAATTTCTCTTATTAAGGATTATCAATGATATTCGAAATCGGTCCAAGTAGTTTTCACTTTTTCTGAATTTGACTGACTGGCTGGTTGGTTGGATTTTAGGCTCATACCGTTTACTTGTTGGGTTTATATAAATATGTCACGGAATCCCTTGGCGGTTGAAGTAGAGGTGAGTCGTCAGCATCACCCGATTTTCCTAACTACTTATCAGTTTTAACTAAATTTTTTTTGTCAAAATGCTTTTGTAAAAAAAAAAAGAATAATAATAGATTTTGAAATAAGCCTTTTTAAAATTTATTATTAATTTATTTCGTTGAAAAGTATGAGAAATAGTTATAATGAAATCTAAGTTCGTCTAAAAACTTTCTTCTGAAATATAAATTCGCAATTTAAATTAATAAATAATAAGCAATAATCAATAAATAATAATATATGCAAATGATATAAAGGCAAGCAATTTTCTTGGTATATATGGAATGGTTCAGTAGGTGAGAATTCGGGTAGGTTCTATTATTTCAGAGCCACGGCACCGAGCTTCACCGAGGTTTCCTCGCTGAAATAAACCTCTTATTTTCAAACTTGTTTTCAAAAATACGAAAATAATACTCAACATGAAGAACCATTATAAAATTCTATCACCAAGTGACTCTATAACAAAATCTATTTAAAACAACAAATTAAAACGGCTAAACGAGAATATCTAACTAGAAATGAGATTAGAAAAAAAATAATAATAAAACTTATGTACATTTCAGGTTAAAAATTGACATGTAAAAAAATAAAAATTAGAAAGTATTTCAAACTTTTTTTTTTTTCGAATATAAAGAATATGTTGGAAATAAATTAAAATACATTAAATATTTTCCGAATATTAAAAATATAATAAATATAATAAAAATAATAATAGAATATAAATAAATAAAAAGTATATATAAAAGAATGTAAGTATATATAATAAATTAAATAAATATAATATAAAAATATAATAAATTAATTTTCATCTGCTAAATTGTGCTACATGCTACCGATTAGCGTATTTTGCACTAAATTTCATTCCCTGAGCGACAAATAACTTTGATGTGAAGTTAATAATTATTTATAATTATTAAATAATTATTATTTATTTAATAATTATAATAATTATTTATTTTAATAATTATTTAATATGGAAATCTTTCATCAGTTGATTTTACCCTTTCTCTTTCTCTATTCTTTTTTTCTTCTAAAAACATTTAAACATTTCTGGTTTGGCTGAATCGGCTAATATCTTATGGCATTTCACAAGATTAACTGTTCTACAGTTAATCTGCCGAAGTACAGTATTTGGAAATATATAATCGCTCTAGTATTATTGCCTAACAACCAATATCTCGTGCCATATTGCTCAAATCCAAATCAAAAATGCATAATTTTTCAATAATTTCAATTATCGAAGCAAAAAAAGAAATTCGCTCATATTATTAATTAGAGCACGGATGATCGAGTGATAAAATTGCTTCAATCTACGCCAAGTAGTAGGTAGAGAATCGCTTAATTCGCTTAACCTAGCAGTTGTTGAAAAATCGCGATGATATTGGCGATCCACGCTATACTTTTATCGCCAAGTAAATAATAGTGAAAATGTCCTTGGGAGGAACTTATACTAATAGCCAGTAAAGCCAATTTAACCAGTAATGTTCAGCGTTGGCCATTTAATTTTTTACTTTCAATTAGGAGCTCTTAAGAAATAAATTATTGCTAAAATAAAAAAAGAAAGCAAAGAAAAATTGGGAATTTAAAAATCGGCAATTAAGATTGAATTCTTTATAAAAAAAAAGGGAATTAAAAATGAAAATTATTATTTAACATTTATCATAAACTGATAGAAACACAAAAAACCTCCGGAAAATAGGTGCATTTGTGGTGCAATTTTGCGGTGCAAAGGTGCTTTTAATGAAAGAAGAAAAAAAAAGAAGCCAAGAATGATAAATCAAAAAGACAAAAGGAACCAATAGCAAAGCAAAATATGGACGTCAATTCGCTGAATTATTTTAGAAAAATAGTTCAAAAAAATTTCCGCAATCAATCAACGATTTTCTAGTTGAATATTAAAATGAATCGATGCGAGTTAATATAAATGAAAATACTACGAAAATCGAAAAAAGGAAGAATATGAAGTAATTTCTCGAGATGCTCAACGTAGCTTCAACAATTACACTTAATTAACAGCTTATCAGCTTAAATTAAAAAAGTAATCATTTGTTAAGGGAAGGGTAGACAATATTAATTTAAAGATAATTTAAAGATGCTACTTTCGAAAAAAAATGAAAAAAATTGAATAAAAATTGACTACACTATAGACTTTTGAAAAATTGACTTGTACATTTCGTTGGAGTATTCTACTACAAGCGATTGTATTATGGGTACCAGTGATGAGTACCACTACTCATTCAAAAGGTGTGTAAATCAATCCAGAGTATCATGGAGAATCACAACCGATACTATAAGTCATTTAATCGACAAAGCGATTATAACGATTAGCACCGAAAATATAAACATCTTTTTTTTTACAAATCTTTCACCGATTGAAGGGATGTCAGATTTCTTAAATCCACTCTTAGCGCAAATACTTAATGGGAGGACGAAATCGGATAGTAATGCATTCATTGTTGCGCGAAACTTTTGTGGAGCCAACATCGAAAGAAAAATTCGTATATATTTGGCTGCAGTGAACGAGAGCCTATTATAATATATAATGGCGAAATATGGCCAATATGGTGAATTGTAACCAGGCAATTATCTGCCTTAAATCATTCTCGCTTAAAGTACCTGCTAAGTAAATAATTTTTCATACTCATTGCATTCACTTTTTTTCGAATATCATTTGCATTAATTATGTTATAACCGTGTGCCATCCATGTTAACTTATATTCATCGCCGCCCATATCATAATTTATCTTCTGACGTATATCTTCTAAATACCTAAGTCTTACGATAATAGGCGTCAAAATATAAAAGGGGACTTAATTGAGTAGGCGAGAACACAAATGCATGAGGCGTCCCAGCAATATACACGCTTAGACGCTTAGACAAGGAATGGCATCATTCAGGCATCAATTATACCGAGAGAGAGAGAGATTCGCAAACTTATAGTCAGCGGAACCAACCTAACCACTAGTGGTACAGATGTTAGAAAAAGAAGTTAACGCCTGAAGAACAAAACTGATAAATTATCATTTCAAGCATAATGATTCGATTTTTGCTGTGTTTCCTGACAAAAAAAAGAATCAACCTTCATCGAAAAATCCGAAGAAGAAAATAATGTTTGCGATTCATTTAGGAAAGAAATGATGAAATTATGGTGTCGTGCCGAATAATTTTTTTCTTTTTTATAAAAAAATTATTTATATTTAGTCAAATAAATAAAAATAATAATAAATAATTTTTGTCAAATTTTGATATTTTACGATATGTGAATTTTTTTTTTTTGCTTTTTTTTCAAGAAATAAATTTTAAAAAAATTTAATGAAAATCAATGCAAACTTTAAATTCAATTTAAAAATTTTGCATGAAAAAAAATCTCCCCTTTATACTTCTAAG